TGAAAGAAACTCTTGTGGCATCCTTGGCCTGTCCTTAAGGAACCCCAGGGTGCTGTTGCACCCACTTTAGGAACCACTACTAGAGGCAGTGAGGTTTGTGGATTAACCAGAGTAACAGGGACATTGTTTCTAAAGACAGCTTACTGTTACAAACACGACTTCCACATATAACTTTTAGCTTAAAATAGGATTTTTTTATGTACATATGTGTACAGATGCTACCACCACCATGGTTAGCGTGCTTGTGTTTCAAAATAAGAGCCTCCGTTTTGCACTCGCAGTGTGGAGTCTCCTGTGATGTAGGCTGTGAAGTGTCCTTCAGGGTGTGGCTGGTCCAACGGTGGGAACGGCTGGGAGTTGGCAGAGGGGAGGTATAATCCTGGCACTAAGCTGTGGTGCAGCTTCATGCGAATGGAAAGGTGGATAAAAAGACGAGCGAGAGAGAGGAAGAAAAAAACCCTGATGGTGAACCTCTGTCATTGGGAAGCTGCGATATTGGCTTCCGGCCACTAAACAGTGGCTGGGTGCGAGGCAAACAGAGAAGACAGCAGCAGACTGAGACAGTGTTCATCCGAGCCGTCAGCCTGCGGGGAAGTGTTAACAGACAAACATCAGCGCAGACACTGTTTATACGCGACTCCCTAACATAGAACGGGAAGAGTGCGGAATAATGAGCCCTCTCAACCTGGTCGTTTTTAAATCATCAGCACGCCAAGGCTTCTCGGGAACACACACACACACACACACACACACACACAATCGGGTCATCAGATTCAGAAAACACAGCTGCCTGCCTAGTCAGGGAAACTGAGCCGCACTGCCCTGGTCTGCATAAAACACAAATTGTTTCCATTTTAAAAGCCGAGCTGTGTCTAGAACAATAGGCTACCACTGCGTGTTCCCACGGGATGGAGGAGAGCAGAGAGAGGTTTAATGAGAGAGCAGAGGTGTGACCTAGCGAGGACACACACACACACACACACACACACACAGAAATCCCCCATGAGTGTGAGAGGGCAGTTGAACCTACCACTGTGAAGAATTGCAACATAATGACACACAGTGAGTGCAGCGCAAACATATCATTTGGCGTCCAGCTCCCGAAAAAAAGGATATTTTTGGGGCACATGAAAACACTTAAAAATCCGAATAATGTTTACTCGTGGTTTTTGCCTTTTTCCCCCCCTAATGTGTGTGTCTCCGCACCGCAACCAACCCGGAGGATGTAACTGAGGAACCTGTGATGGAATGGCCCCACGGGGAGAGAGTCAGCCCTGTTTTGTCTCTTTTGTACCTGTTGTGTCAAAGCACTGATAACAGGCTCATCTGTTCGCCATCAGGCGCGTCCACACTCCAGCGTCCAGCGTCCCCGCTGTCATGAAGTCGGTATTTGAAGTGTCTGATCCTCTGATGCTATCACTGTCTCCTCTTCAATCCTTTGTGATGATCATTTTCATGCGATCATCTGTTGTCGCGCCAAATCCCAATCCCCAATTCCTGTGCTTGTGACGGGCCCTTTTTTTTTGTTTGTCCATGACACCCAGTCACACCCACACACACACACACGGAGAAGACACTCACACGCTCGCCATGCAGTGTATTTACTTCTTCGTCGAGACGCTCTTCCCATTTTGGCTGATTTACGGGGGCCCTGATTACACTCTGTTTACTGGCACTCGTAAACACAATGACAACCTGGCAGCGCTTAAACATCTGAAACACTGTTATTATTTCTCCATCTAGCAAGGACACAAAGCGTAATCCTTATTGCTGGATCTTGGTTATCTGCCCCGACCACAGCCACACCAGTGTGTCATCTGCCGGGCAGACATGGAAAAAAGGCAACACAGAAAAAGAAATGCAGCCGATGGGAGAGTGGTTTTTGGACAGCGGCTCAGTATCTGTCTGGCTGTGTCAGTGTGTGTATGTTCTATTTAATAGCGAAAGAGCTAATTATTCAATATTTTTTTAAGTGATGAAAGTGTTGTCAGGGCAAACGGAGAAGGCATTAAATTCACGCCGTGTATGATGTCTTTGGCTAACTGAGTGGAATTGACAGTTTGGTTCTTTGGAGCCTCAGACTCAGACTTATTCACCACCCGTAGAGACAGAAAGAGAGAGACAGGGAGAGGAATGGCTGGGAGAGGTAATATAAAAGTAGCGTTGGCAGAGTGCAAGGCGCTGGAATGCCAAGGCATCTCTAACTTCATTTACAGACTCTTCTCAACATTATGAGAAGCACAGATCATTAAAGAAATATATAAAAGATAGACCTGGAAGGCCAATAGCTTGAGTGATCGCTCTGGGTCGCAGTTCCTGCTCAAGACTGAGGCCTGGCTGGTGTCAGATCAAAGATAGCATCAGTAGACGTAAGCATAAGGCGCCTGAAGCGTTGGTCATCTCCTCTTTGGTTGGAACCAAAGAGAGTAAAAGTAACCGGCCTACGCAGTCCCACATCTGCTGTATTTGCCTTTACATGCGGTAAGCTTCATGACACAGGCTTTGCTGGAGGTACAGTGTGGGATGATCAACTTTCTGTCCAGCACAGAGCGTTGACTCACCTGTGGTAAGTCCTGACTCATCCTCAGACCTCGACCGGCTGCCGGAGGATTCAAAGGAGCTGCGTGATGACACGATGATCTGTTCTCATCCTGATCCGCACTGTGGTTGCACAGGTCAGCGGCGAGCAGATTGTCGAGTCTGCTGCACCACTCTGGTTCTCATCGGGTGCTTCAGAGGAAATCAGCTGGGCTCATTTCCTTTCTTCAACAAATGAGTTTGGATTTGTGTGTGTGTGTGTGTGTGTGTGTGTGTGTTTCCAACTGTTTCTCCTGTAGTGGAATAATCTGCTCATTCCGGTCGTTTTAAACACATTTGAGCGTCTGCCCAGTGACGTACAACGTTTGATACCACTACGATTCTAATAGGTCTTCCTTCATAAATGACTTATTCGTCAAACCTAAAAGAAAGAACTTTGCAGTTGCCAGGTGGTTGAAAAAGACCGGTGTTTACAACATTTGCTTGATCTTTTTAGCTCCTATTTATTGAAGTATTTCTGAGTATTTATAACATTTCCTGACTGATCTTTTCTGATTACTTGAATGACTTGATGAAATTGAGAAACTCTTTCTTAATGACTTTATTAAGATGAGTAACCGCAGACTTGATGGTTTATTACCCTTTATTAATGACCTATAGTACCTTAATAGTTTATCATCAGCAGATGCAGTCAGCTCATGGTCTAAGTATGGAACTTAGTAACTCGCAGAGTCCCAGAGGAACTTGAGTTAAGATAATCTTGTCTTGGAAACTACTACACCCAGGATCAAGAACAAACTTTTACATTTAGTTTCTGTTTTTCAGGAAGTTATATGCTGAAACTGTTTCTTGGCGACTAGCAAGCAGGGGCACTGTCTTCCATGGAGATACAATGTATAGGCAGGTTTGTTAACTTTGGTAGGAGTGAGGCTAACTATTTCCGCCTGCTTCCAGTCTCTATGCTAAGCTAAGCTAATCGCCTCCCAGCTCTTACTACATAGTTGATGCACAGAGATGAGAGTGGTATCAATCTTTAACCCTCATAAAGAAAGAAAATATGCAAATTTACCCAAAAAAAGAAAACTACTCCTTTAAAATGCCGTCCTTCCTCTCATCTGTAATGTTGTTTTAAACATAATTCTGTTGTTTTCTATTTGTTGTTTACGGGAACACTGTAAAGCCACTGAACACTTATTTTTGGCAACATGTGATTTTTGGTGACATAAGAATTGACACTTACTCTAAGTCACTGTGGATGAGACCACCAACTAAAAGCCTGAAACGTAAATGTCATATAAAATGTGTGTATGTGTGTGTGTTTGTGTTTATTTGTCTGCCTAATTCAGCCCAGCCCTTGGTTAGTCCAACAGGGCCTGCCTTGTTTATTGTTGTATGTTGCTAACAACAGCAGCAGATGGTAATGATGATAGTCAACCACTCTCCTCCGCAGTCGTCTTAACAGGTGTAACCTCATTCCCTCTCTAATTTGTCAGCCCACGCTTGTTTTCCCTCATTTTCACCAAGTTTTGTTAAAGCTACTCATAGTTTTTTTTTTTTTTTTGCCCTCTTTTTGCTCTGCCTCCATTACCCCGCGGTGATGTTAAGTGAGTTAGTATTTTTGGACGTCCAGCATGCTGCCAGAAACCATCAGACATCTTAGCTTTCCCCTCTGGCGGTCCGTGAAACCCCACTGTCAGTGAAGCCCAAAGGCAACAACAAAGTGGACCGAGCGTTCAGTAGCAAAGTAGTAAAGCAAAAAAAAATCAAAATAGAAAAAACAAGGAAAAAAGAATAAGAAAATAATAAAAGGTCCTCTGTGATTTATTGGCGATTTATTGAGTCTTTGGCAATGCTCTTGTTTTAAAAAATCTTAGTTTTAGATGTTTTAGGCACAGAGCTTTGGAAATAGAGTTTTTGTACTCAGTGGTGCATTTCCAGATCCTGGGGTCCAGGGTTCCTAAGGGAAAGGACTGGTTCCTAGTCCAAGGGGAGGGTCCTGGGGGTCATAGTGGCCCGCTTAAGCTGTATACACACCTTCTCCACCTGCCAGAGAACATTGTTTTGTATGTTCTGAATGGAGCATCTGGACAGTGGCTGCCTCACACACACTGGAAACACTTAAAGCTGTGGATGGAAAGACTCACACACTGCGCTCCACAGCCCACAATGACTTCACACACACACACACTTTCTTCCGTTGAAATATTGGACATTGTGGTCAAAGGTGCGCTCACCTTTGCTCGCGCAGTGAAACGCAGGAGGAGAGGAAAACGTGCCAGTGCGCTCGTGCGTCTCCGCCAGCACAGACATCTCACACCGTTACCTGAAATATTCCTCTC